GCACACTAGGGGGGGTTTTCTCAGACTGGTGATATTTAAACCCAGCCAGAGCTGAGATGAAGGGGTGCTTATCTGTCTCCCATCTGAGGTAGCACAAAAAACCCCTACACTTAACCTTTAGAAAACTCTGTGACATTCATACCCTTGGGGAAAAATTACGCAGAGGCTGCAAAGTATAGCGACAGAGTGTAGTCCATTCAAAATAACAGACTTCCTCTAGGCACAAAGGTTATTCTACTGAAAAAAGACAGGGCTGATTGAAAATGCAATGGAGTCTGAGAGTCTCTCGTCGCCTTGATCGCCTCACATATCAGCTGAACAACCAATGCCCTGACACTTCATCGGCCCATGCAAGGAAGGTAACGTCACAAAGCTGACATTGCTGACAAGAATTATTTACTTTAACCTTCCACAGTCTGCCCTGCTAAAGTAGAGGACGAGCAAACCACCAAGTACAAAACTTCAACACGTAGGCCTAACTCTTGTGCTACTGACATGAGGTGTGCTATACATTTTCTATGTAATCTCACTCAATTTTCACTTGGTGGACTATAAAACTGGGTGAAAAATGCAATGGATTTTAGCTTCGTTCGCACTGAATGGCTGTTGGCTATGACCAATGGCTTTGATCTCAAATGAGATGTACTGCTAGTGAAAGCAAGATATCATTCAATTTTGACTAAGATTCAGGTTTCTTGCAGCTAAAAATTTACATTCTGGAGGTGAATGTGTTTGTGCAAGTTTTTCAGTAAATAATGTGTCAAATTATGAACAATTATCAATAAGGGCCCCAAACTACAACTAAAATGGTTGCAAATGTGCAAATAAATAAATATTGTGTTACAATTTAAAATCTTGTTTCATACAACAAAATAGTTTTGGTGTATAAATAAATAAACATATATAGAATTAATAAAAAATACAAATTTGTTTAATAAAAGTACAAATATTTTGCAAAAACATATTATTGGTAATTGTTTAGCATACGAGGTCCAACTGTAAGGTTGAATCGACTGTAAGGGAAACTATTTTTGGATAATGTGTTTGCACCACAATTCAACACTATTTTTCGTACCCAATCATACAAAAATTGTTAACTGTAATTAAAACTAACTGACTTTGGGGTCAGCTTGAGGTACAAGCTAGCAGTGTGAATGAGGGTTAACCAAAAGTACCCTGGCCAGAGCACCCTAGAAGAAAACGAAAAACCACTCAGACTGCAATAGTAACCACACAGCAACCCCCTGGAATTGGAGCATAGAGTATTGCCCAGGCAAGAAGCTCTCATATTTTCGTCAGAAAATCAAGTTAATTAGTGCACTTGTTTCCCATGACATGCGTTTTACTTGTCGCAAAGGCTGGAGGTTGACACACCAGAACTTCATGCTTAATGAGCTCTGTTCCCCTTTCCTCCATTCCATATACCATGATTTAAATATAGGACACTCATTGAAAGCTGTCAAATCGTAATACCTCTAGGTTTTACAGTTTCAAAACATGCGCCCATAACGCAACAGAGCCAAAACAGCACCTCCATCACCACCTCCTCTTCCTGGCACTAAATCCAGCTGTCAAGCAAGCATAAAAGGATTGATGGAGGCTGTTCAAAGTGAAAGCAGTGGAGATCAGGACAGACATGTGCCAGCAGAATGAATAAGAGCCAGATGCGGTGAACACAGCATCCTCATCTCAGGAGAAAAAAAACTGTCAAATTTCTTTTGAAACTTCAGCCGGGCGAAAGAGCTTGAAGCTCCGTGGACTCTGCTGAAGCCATGATAGCTTCTCCGGTGTGTGAATGAAACAAGAAAAAGGTGTGATGTTCAAGAGGCAGCATGGCAGCAGCTATCTCTGCTGTTGAATCCTAGAGATGTGTAAAAGTACATATCACTGAACTAATCAGTGTTCAATTACCTGATCAACAAGTCCATTTCTTGGTCTTAAGACATTTGGGCGAAATGTCATTAATGTCAAAAAAAAATTTGTATTCTACAAAACAAAACTTTTTAATTCTATGCATTTGAATTAACTTTTAACACTGTTCCATAAAAGTGCACCTTTTAGTTCATACAGGTAGCAAGATATTCAATGGCTGATCATTTTTGCCCGTGCAGTTGCTTTCCCTCAGTAGGTGTGTGTTTTGTCTTTCTATCTGGTGTGAATCAGAGCTTATTACCTGGTTTCCTTAATACAGCTCTGCAAACTGAATTCTAAATTGTTTTTCAGTTAGGAAGCATGTAGCCTGAGCCACTGAGCTCAGTGCAAAAGGGTTACAGTGTACCCAATGACTGCTGAAGACTGGAAATAGAAAATGTCCCTTATCAGAGTTAGGGAGCGATCAGCATACCAATTACTACAGTAGGTATGGTGTGACACTGCTGCCACAACCAGACACACAAACCTGGACGTGAACATAAGCTCACAGATGGAAACATATGAGCACACAAGCACAAATATACAATCTACAAAGCAAACAGACATTTTTCATGTGACTAGTATATGAAATATAGCCAGATATTTCTGCCCACCTTGTGTCCCTTGAAAGCAGTATAGTTGTGAGTGGCAGTGCGGTTGGCTCGACTTATTACCATACATGCAACTAAAATATAATTGGCACAGCTCGCAGAACACCTGCAGAGGTGAAGCTAGGCATGTTTATTCTAGTTGGTGAAAAAAAATGTGAAATACATTATTTTAAAAAACATCCTGTCAGTAGTTATCCCACCTTTCAGGTTGGCAAAAATCATCTAATTAATATTGTTTTCAGGCACAAATTTCTCTGTTTCTGTTGAGTAAAATGAAGAGGAAACCAACACCTTGGGCCTCTTTTTCATTTTCTGACTGAATGCCAGCAAATGTGTAACAGAGATATAAAACCGACAGGCCATGCCACGACCAAGACAAATGCTGCACACGGCTAAGGCCAGCCCAGGAACACTAGACGATTTCAAATGAGATGACAATTCATCAACAACTAGCTGCAATGGACCCTGGTGAGAGGAAAAAAGATGAAGCAGTTTTTTCCTTTGGATAGAAATCATCTACATTATTCAACTCTTAAAAATAGGTTCCAGGTGGGGGGTTGCAGCAAGAAGAACCATAGAAGAACCATTTTTGACTCCCCAAAGAACCTTTCAGAGAACAGTTCCATAAATAACCATTTTTTCTCAGTGTGAAGAACATAAAAAAAATCTAAAGAACCTTTTGTGGAAAGGAAAGATTCCATGGATCTTAACCACTGATGCCACTAAAGAATATTTATTTTTAAGAGTGAATGTTAGTAATATCACATTATTACACTGATCTCTGGAATACCTGATTCTAGATATCTTATCTTATCTTATCTTATATTCTATAAGGGAAAAAAATATATCCATTTATGTGTTTATGTGGTAAGTAGTCATGTACTGTTGTACATTCAGCCTGTTATTATCCTTCACTTCAATATCATTGCTTCTTACTGTTGGCTTTTGATGTTGCAAAACACTGGCTAATATGACCAGACAAAGCAACATAATGACATCTCTGATGTAATGACGATTACACATTGCTTTAAACTTTTGTGTCCAGGAACCATCAGTCTACTGAAACCTCAACATCAGTGTCCATTAGCTGACATCATCTGCCTTGAATAAGTTATTCCTCATATATGCTTTCATTTCACCTATAACAGATTACTCGCTGACTCATCATGAGTCAAATGGCTCTACCTAAGTGTCTAACACCCCACACACACACACACACACACAGTCCAAATGAAAGGCTACATTCACAAAAGTGGCTGTTTTTGTGAGGCTCTTTACGTGACCTTTGAAATGTGCCTCATATAAGACACAAGTCTAAACATGTGCCATCCCTAAAATGACCCACAAACATTAAACAGCCTATTCTGGAATATTCAACATGACATCAAATATTATATCATTAAATATGATAATATGTTTTATATTTTCCAGTTCCACAAGACAAATTTGGGACACATTCAACCATGTTGTATAGATGCATTAAACCCCAGGAGGCACAACTCATAGGGGAAACTATATGATTGGCACAACAGCATCATGGGAAATCAGACACGAACACCTGCTGCCCGTGTTTACACCAGACACCTGTATTAAACCAGAAATCAGTACCATCCAGACAGAGACCAGTTCGTCCACAGATGAAAGGGATCTTCGTTCTGGCTGAAATGTTTTTTTTTTTTTTTTAACACCACCAACTGGGTATTTACTCATCTTACTGAGGTCAAGTGTTTTCCCCTGAGGGAGGACAACTTGCAGTACTTATGACAACTTCACCATTTCGCATCTCTTAAGCAATGCCAAGTTGGCTAACTCACACAAACCACTACTAGTCAAGGGGAAAATATACAAAAATAATTCATTGGCGTAGCAGTCCTCTAATAAAAAACACTGTTTATGCTCATTGAACATTGGGGAAACAAACAAAAAAATAGCCTTCAATCAAACAAACCCACCAGTCAAAATGTAACATGACCCGCAACTCATCAGGATTCAGTTAAGTTTCCACTAGAGATGCTTAAAACAAACCCAGCCTGTGTTGCACACCAGGATCAGGAGAGCTTTTCATCCAACAGACAAACACTATTCCCAAACAACAGCAGGAAGCTGTGCCTTCAGGCAAATAACTGACAGGGGAGAAGCTGTCAGGCAAATACAAACAGAAAAAAAAGCAGCATTGTTCTCTTACAAGTGCACTAAGCAGACCACCAAACTACAGCACTCTACTGTTAAATATTAATGGGGGGGCACACAAAGCCACTTCAGTGCGTATTTTTTGCCCCTGGCTTCATGCGAGAGCATTTCAAAACAAAGGCACGAGGCTTGATGACCATAGCTGCTTCATTCTGCTGCGCTCCGGTGAACCCACTCTGCGTGTAAATGCCCTGCGTAAACGTCCATATATCATACAAGAACGCGTCCGCGTACCGGGGAGGGCTGCATATAAGGTATAGCGAAGGATGAAAACAACCAAGACCGTACCTTTGTTCACTCTCCGCAGTATCTGGCATCGGCATTTGAAAGAGACGGCTATCATACTAGCTCAGCCGAAGTGCTCATCCAAGGGCTCCGATAAAAGCGAATCCTCGCACATACATAGCACAGGCGCCGTGTGTCCCACCGGAGAAAGGTAGACTCCGTAAGCGGTGCAGAGCTCGAATCATGCACTACGTCCCTGCAGCGCTGGGATCCGTGCTTTATAATAGCAAATCATATTTTATCCCCACATATAAAATCCATCGGAAAGTGCGCGCTGAGGATGAACACGCAGAGCGCGGCTGATGCGTCTCATCCGAGACTCGGGCTGATCTAAATGGGCTTTTAAAGTTGCATGCTTGGTGTATTCAGTAGTAGCTGGTACCTGAGCACGGCAGGAGACGAGCCACACTTTCGTCGATAGAATTACTGTTATTTGCAAGAAGTGTTAGAAATTAACTTTTCCATTAAGAGAATGGACTTTATCATTTATGAGGGAATAGTCTCGATTAAATCAGTTCATTAACACAAATTTGCAATCAGAATAATTAGATGTAGAATTTATTACTTATAAAGCTGTTCGGTTTATAGTCCTAAACCCTGGAATTTTTTTTGCATCTTTCAGACATTTCCTAAGGGTTTTGAGAACATTCCCGCAAAAACCTATATATAAAAATAAATCCATAAGACATTCCATAGGGGGCCCATGGGAAATTAGCATCCCCTGTTGACCTACAAACTGACATAATCATAACAGCTCAATTACCTGAAAAGTGAAAATGTTTCTTGCCAATGCAAAAAAATCTGGGAGGTTGCTAGGGTGTTGCTATGCAACAATTGCTAAGTTTGTTAAGGGTGGTCACTATGTGTTCTGGGTGGTTACTAGGCTCTTCTACTTGTTTTTTTTTTGGTCCAAAAAGAAAAAGCAGCATAATACATGTAACAGCAGCAGTCATATTTGCCTAAGCAAGCACCATTCAACATTAAATAGGTCAATAATAAAAAAATAATAATAATAATAAAAAATCAGAAGAATTTATTTCCACATATTATATTATATTATATTATATTATATTATATCACAACATTTATAATATTTAGAAACATGATTATAACCATGTGGGTTAGAGGGATATTATCATCATCTGCATTGATTTTTTCATTTAGATGCAGCGTATTCAAGCTGGGGGAAAAAATCCAAGTTAACCTTATATAAGAGCACAATTAAGAGCCTATCAATTCCCCTGAGAGGAAGGCAGGATCATTTTCATTAGGAAACTAAAATAACAAATCACATTTTTTGTCACTTCAAAAGAAGAAGAAAAAATAATACTTATTGAATATGCAACAACAATAAGATTGTTTCCCACTTTCAAATACACATTTCAGAACTGTTAATTAGCCAGCAGTGTCTGTTTATTTACTTCTTAAATTTGCATAATGCCAATCATATATCCCTAATTCCAGTCTAGAGTGAACTGGGCTAATTTGCAGGCCAGTGCTGCTGTGTTCAATGCTGAGCAGCAGTCCTTTTTATAACACAGATAACATGCATATAGGTCAGTGGTGGTATCTCTGCGTATTATCGGACATTTGGAGGCACGATAAGCCTAGCGACAAGGGACAGTGTATTAAAGGCATCTGTCTCTGTTTGTGTACGAAATATGTCTCAATGAGCCTTTAATGTGAATGAAAGTATTAAGGTCATGGCCACCATACTCCATTCCTCCGCTGACGCTTGTAAGAAGAGTCTGAGATAACAGCCGAACTGAGTGTCTGAGATCAAAGTTGTCTAATCTCTCTTTTTAACCCCCCTCTTTTTATATTCACTTGATTTTAATGTTGTCAAGCATCCAGGTGGATGCCAGCGGGTGGATCAATGCTCCTGAAGAGAGAGATGAGGTTTAGTACAAGGATTATGCATACTGATCAGATTACACACAGGGATTTGTCTGTCCACTTGGATAAATAATTCTCTATCACCATGTCAAGATGAGAGATGCATTTTGGTATGCCATGCATGTGGTTCTCTGTGGGCAGATCATGCAAGAGCATCACAAAGCCTGTCTGTTATGCGGTTAATTTGATCTGCACACTGTTGTTTGAAGGAAATGCACTGGCACAAAGGGAAATCCATTGGTGCGCGAGGAGATGGAAGTGTTATGTCGGCTCTGTGCAAATTTTATAGAGACATCAGTGAACCGAGGCTCTCTCTCCCACTGTTTAAGACTCGCCAGTGCCACATACGGCCATCCTCTATGTGCTCGTATTTAAAGAATGTGGCCCAAGATGTGAAACAAATTGTCATTTGCCACCACGGCCAAAAATGAACTTTTAAATTAAAAAGAGGCAAATAAAACTTTAAATCCAGCTCGACTCTATCTCAAAATACTCTGTGCAAGCTCTAATTTATGCTTCCCGCATGAAAAACCCACAAGACAAATGTTCCCTGCTTAGGATGTACATTTGCATATAATATTTAATCATCAAGGCATCAGTTTGAAGACTTCACAAAATGGATTAACAAGTGAATGTTAATTCTTTGTTGACATGCAGGACACATCAAAAGGCTTGTCACTTTTGAAAACAGACAATTAGCTCTTTTTGAAATGGTTAAATATATAAATATTTACATAAACATTTAATAATATACACATATAAATATATGTATTTCTTATTAATTTTTTTTTACATACGTATGACATTTACATATGTAAATAAAAAAGTATGAAAAATATTTGTAATTAAATTAAGTAGTTAAATACATAAATATTTGCATAACAATTAAATGTAATAAAAACACAGTTTATGAAAACATTATTTATAAACAAGTTAAATTAGTTTATATAAAGTATAAGAACATTTTAAAATATTTTACATACTAAAATATAAAAAAATTTCACAAAATAATATTAAATTATACACACACACACACACACACACACACACACACACACACACACACACACACACACAGTGTGGGTATAGAAAATAATCACATTATGAGGCTTTACAGCCTGAAATGAAGATGGACACAGTTTTTGTTTTATCCAGCAACTTATAACATCCAAGTGAAAGATATAACACTAACATGTGAGAAAAACAAATAAATAAATAAACAGAATCACTGTGAGGCCATGTCCACACGTACATGGGTATTTTTAAAAAGAGAGTTTTTCCTTCCGTTTTTAAAAAAATCTTTGTCCACATGAAAACGCAAACGCATGCTGTGAAGCACTGTCAAGAGCATGCCAAACCAACAAGTGGCGATATAATCTCAACCGTAAAACTATGTTGGCCAATCAGAAGCCTGAAAAAGTTTCCAGTAGGCAGCGATAACAGCGCAGGCTCTGACGTCACTAGCCAAAAACTCTGGTTTCGCTGTCTACACGATAACACTGCAACCAGAGTTTTTGAAAATATTCACCCTGGCAGGAGTTTTCAAAAATGTTCGGTTTCAGTAACCTGGCGCTGCGTTTGCGTGTGGATGAATGGCCAAACCGCATAGAAAAAGCTGCGGTTTTGAAAATAACCGCGTTCGTGTGGACAGGGCCCCCTCCTAAAAATGACTTGTAAACTCAATCAGGTGTAGCTAATCACTTTCTCATTGGCACACAAAGCCATTTTACTTTCAACTGTGATCAGCTGTGGTCATTTTGATTAGCTCAGCATGAAAAGAGCTTTCCTGGAGCATTTCAGTCCTTGATAGTGCAACTGAAGCAAACAATCAACTATGGGTGGCAAGGCGCTGTCAAAAGATCTCTGGGATAAAGTTGTGGACACAAGTCAGGAGATGGATACAAAAAAATTGTTTCAAAGGATTTATCAATGCCTAGAAGCACAGTGAAGTCTATTATTAAGAAGTGGAAGGTATTTGTTTCAACACAGAACCTCCCTGGATCAGGACGTCGCTCCAAACTGGATGAAAGATCCAGGAGGAAGCTGGTCAAAGAGGCTACCAAGAGGCCTACAGCAACTCTGGTCATTGAGTGCATGTGCATACAGTGCAAACAAATATCACAATTCTCCACAAACGTGGCTTGTATGGGAGGGCTGCAAGAAAAAAGCCACTCCCCAAGAAAGGCCACATGCAGCTTTGCCAAAACGCACCTTGAGGATTCTGAGGCAGATGAGACTGTAATTTGTAATAAAATGTAATTTGGCCTCAACACCAAACGATATGTTTGGCGGAAATCCAATACAGCTCATCATCCAAATAACAGCATTCCTACAGTAAAGCATGGAGGTGGTAATATCCTGTTATGGGGGTGTTTCTCTGCAGCAGGGACTGGAGCACTTGTCAGAATAGAAGGAAGAGTTTTTGAAAATATTCACCCTGGCAGGAGTTTTCAAAAATGTTCGGTTTCAGTAACCTGGCGCTGCGTTTGCGTGTGGATGAATGGCCAAACCGCATAGAAAAAGCTGCGGTTTTGAAAATAACCGCGTTCGTGTGGACAGGGCCCCCTCCTAAAAATGACTTGTAAACTCAATCAGGTGTAGCTAATCACTTTCTCATTGGCACACAAAGCCATTTTACTTTCAACTGTGATCAGCTGTGGTCATTTTGATTAGCTCAGCATGAAAAGAGCTTTCCTGGAGCATTTCAGTCCTTGATAGTGCAACTGAAGCAAACAATCAACTATGGGTGGCAAGGCGCTGTCAAAAGATCTCTGGGATAAAGTTGTGGACACAAGTCAGGAGATGGATACAAAAAAATTGTTTCAAAGGATTTATCAATGCCTAGAAGCACAGTGAAGTCTATTATTAAGAAGTGGAAGGTATTTGTTTCAACACAGAACCTCCCTGGATCAGGACGTCGCTCCAAACTGGATGAAAGATCCAGGAGGAAGCTGGTCAAAGAGGCTACCAAGAGGCCTACAGCAACTCTGGTCATTGAGTGCATGTGCATACAGTGCAAACAAATATCACAATTCTCCACAAACGTGGCTTGTATGGGAGGGCTGCAAGAAAAAAGCCACTCCCCAAGAAAGGCCACATGCAGCTTTGCCAAAACGCACCTTGAGGATTCTGAGGCAGATGAGACTGTAATTTGTAATAAAATGTAATTTGGCCTCAACACCAAACGATATGTTTGGCGGAAATCCAATACAGCTCATCATCCAAATAACAGCATTCCTACAGTAAAGCATGGAGGTGGTAATATCCTGTTATGGGGGTGTTTCTCTGCAGCAGGGACTGGAGCACTTGTCAGAATAGAAGGAATAATGGATGGGGCAAAATACCGTCAAATTCTTGAGGAAAATCTGCTGCCCTCTGCCAGAAAGTTGTCAGTGGGAAGAAGGTTTTCCGTCCAACATGACA